AAAAAAAAAATTTTCCTTTTTTAAAAAAAAAAAAAAAAAAAAAAAAAATTACTTCTAACAACAAAAGATATAGTTTGCACGTCTGACAGCTAGTAAAAAGGTTAAGCTAATAAACAGACAAGGGAAGAATACAAAATAAAATCAACAGTGATGATGAAACAGACAAAGAAATTAACCAAGAGTTCCCGCTCGGTTAGCAACTTCTCCATAGTCCCTCGGTTAGACGATGCACGGCAAGTCGATTCAGCGAAGTCGGACGTCTCTGAACTGGGCTGTCAGAGGGAAAACCGGAGAGAAAGTCCCTCAGTCCGGATCTGGTCTTCGTTCAGAGATCCGGGGAAATGGGACAGCAATGACCTTTTTGTTCCCTCCTTCCCTGAGGGTTACTTAACGTGCGTGTTCTTTTATATCCTGTTTATGCCAATTTTTTAGTTTCATAGCCATTCATAGTGTTACTTTATAGCTGTTATCCTATAGGGTTAGAGGGTGTTAGAAATTATTATAATAAGTTACTGCCCAAGCTTGGTTTTACCCAATAAGCAAATCACACCACATCACTTTGGGGTCTGAGATTAACATGTCCCCACTTAAGTTCAACTCACTGTGGTAATTATAACTTGTGATTACGTTTGTTAGTTTGTTTTTTTTTACTGATTCTAGGCAGAACTTCATAAATTAGGTATGTCTGAAGTTATAATTTTCAGTTCTGCTTTTTAAAGTTCCTGTTGTTTGAAGATTAGTATAAAAAGCTGTATATAAAATTTCTTCCAGACAGACAGGAAACTGCTCCTATGAATTACTTCAGATACTTTCAAAAAGCAGATTTCTCCTGGTAGAGTTGCCCATTTAACCCTTCTGGTTCTGGCCATCACGGGGGGCTCCGGGCACTTCCCCACCCGTCATCCGTCTTGGCTCATTATCATTTACTTGATTCATTCTTCATGCCACAGCTGCTAACGACCCTCTTTCCTTTTCAGTGGGCTTTAATAGGTCCACTACTCCAGCTACCCTTACTTCTGCAGTGCGCCTAGTCCTGAAATGCTCCCATTTCACAGCAATGCAGACTGTTTGTAACTCTAGCTCAAAACATCAACTCAGGTAGGGAAATGTTAACTAAAGTGAATGTTAGCTCTGGTGTGGAAATTGCAAAAGCATTGGAGGCACCGTCCAGAAGCTCAAGAAGGCTTGATGTTGTTTCATGAATCTGAAAAGAGACAAACATTTAACTGTAGTGACTCCAGGACTGATGAAACATTGTTGGGTTATTTTTGCCTAGCTTGCCGTGTTTTTATATATAATATATGAGATAGCAAATGAGTACACAGTCCACTAAAGGTTTTTGGGTTTTTTTTGCTTTGGTCCCTACGTATTAGTGAAGCTTCTAGTTTCTTTTTAACTGGAGTAAAATGAGTATTGTATTATATGTCATGATGCACCTCGCTGTCTGATATCTATATCTAGATATAGATATAGATATATATAGATAGAGATATCTATCTATCTATCTATATAAAATATATGTGTGTATGATACATACACACACATATGATACATGCACACACATATATCTATATCTATATATATAATATATGTCATACTGCATCCCACCCTTTTCAAAACTGTAGATCTGCCCATGGTCTTACTATCAGTGGTTGTGAGCTAAGCAGGGTCCGGCCTGGTTTGGACCCACATGGGAGACCTCAGAGGAGAGCTCAGGGCTGCAGGAATTGGTGCTGTTCCCTCTGGGTTGGTCCCTATGACTTAGTGTGACATCCAAGGTTAGACTGGATTGCATGAGGCTTAAAACTGGACACTAGGTTGTTAAAAAGCCTATAGTGTTTTTTGTTTTTTTTTTTGGAGCTTGGGCATTAACTGGGATATTCTGGCCCTGTTAAAACTGAAAAAATTGCATTCATACCCCAGTGTTTCCCTCCCCTCTTTGTGCCTCAGTTTCCCCACCCATAAATTTGTGTGTGCGTGTGTCCCTCTCACTCCCAGCTCCCCCACCATGGGCTGTGCTGCTGCACTGCACCATGCAGAGGTCCCATGCCATAGGCACCCCCAGTACCTTGTGCTGCATCTTATTGCCCCAGTCTGCCCCTTTGGGGCAGGGGCAAGAAGCGGGGAGCCCATAGACCTAGGCTGTTGCTGCAGCCAGAGCAATAGAGGAAGTGGTGGCCAGGTGAAAGCCCAGGGGCTCGAATTAACCCCTCGCTGGCCAGGGGTTAGACAGCCTTGATGTAAATTATACTGGATCCTGGAGGAGGCAGACGGGCTGTTACTCCAGAGTAGCTGTATGCAGGAGGTGCTGTTACAGCACCATGCCACTTAGTGGCAGAGAAGCACATATTTGCATTGAGGCAACCTCTACTCCAGGATAAGATGTAGACATATGGCAGGTACCCTGGGTACGTTTCACCGGTAGAGTTTTATCCTCGTTTTCCTGGAGTATTCTGGACTGGATTCAAAGAAATTACACCAGTGTGCACTGTGTGTCCTGTGTTCAAGGTGTGTGCACCATGTAACTGTCTACACTGAGCGTCTGCTTCTGGGTAGAAAGGCCGATTACGCTGCTGCAGGCATGTTGTATGCCCAAGCCGTCCTATAACCAGAAGCCTAGACGTGCCGTTACTCCCTGCACTTGCTATTGTGTCCTTGGAAAGGTCTGCACCACTTCTCAGCGCGTGTGATCTTGGAGGGCAGGATTCGGGCTGCACCCTGTCGTGTACCTATGGCTTCATCTGTCCTTGCTGTGATACCTGCTATTTGTGTTGCAGGTAAGGAGAGATGCCTGGAGGACCATGAAGTACATGGAGCTGTTCATTGTTGCTGATCACACTCTGGTGAGCACTGGGCTCTTGGAAACGGGGCCCGACTTGCTGTCAGCTGTGCTTTCCCGTGCAGTGGCAAGGCATGGCATTGCATGCAATGGCAAGGTAGTTGCCTTCCCATCACATTCCCAGACCTGGGCCCTGGGAATAGAAACGGATGGACAGGGAGCAAGTGCTCTTGGTGGCTGGAGATGCAGTGTGTACATGCCCCGGGCACAGAGATGAAACACAGGGGAGTAGAAGGAAGGGGTTTCTTGCATAACCAAGATCCATCTGCGACTATTGCAGGCAGCTGATGGATCTTTTATAAAAGGCCCTTTAAATAAAATGCTCCTAGCTCCCAGTCTTGTGCTTGGGGTTGCTGGATGCTCGAGCTTTCCTTGTGCCCAGGTCTTGGCTCTGCCTGCAAACAGCCCCAGGGCTCGTGTTCCCCCTCAGCCCAGCTGGGGCATCCCAAAGGAAACCCCTTTACCTTTCTCTCCTTCAGCCTTTTATTTCCCTTTTGCTCGGACACCGAAACTGAGGTGGGTTACTTATCGCTAGTGTTGCACTCGTACCTCCCGGGATGCGGGGTCTGGGGCACAGACACCTGACACGGAGCCTGCTTAGGCTCTTTGAATCGAACGAAGAAGGATGGGGCAACATTTCTGCAGCTGCAAGACCCCAGGATAGCAAATTTGTGCAAGCTGTGGATTTCTGGCCACAGTTTTCCTGGCGCGGTCTCTTGAAGCATGGCACAACCAGAGCGAAGTCTTTCCTCCCACGCACAGCTGAATGGGAAGTGAGACCCGGGCTGGATTCAGGACCAGCTGTAAGCAGCCAAGAGGAAATTCCCTTGGCTTTTCCAACGGCCTGATGCATGAGGCAGGGAGGGCTCCTCGGTGTATGGCCTCACTGCCTTGGGGCCTGCAGCATGTTAGAGCAGCCCCTTAGCAGCTCTTGGCCTTGCCAAGGATGGGACACATGAGTCTCTCGAATGGGAGAGCTGCAGCTGGTGCCCAGTCTGGCCCAGGGCTTTGAGCCTGGTCTGCAGAGAGTCGGCTTATAGGCTTCCTGCTCCTCCCCTGCCACCGCCAAACCACAATGAAGAGCACACATCTGCAGTCTGCTCCTTCTGCTACTTCATTCTCTAAGCCAAGCGTGGCTGGCCTACGACACGGGTACCAAAAGTGGTACGGGCAGCTTCTGTGTGCGGCATGTGGCAGATTGGAGAGGGGGCAGGGAGCAGATCAGACAGAGAGGACAAGACTGGGAGCAGAAAGCAGAGCAGGCTGGGAGCACAAAGCAGAGCAGCACATCACACTGGGAGTACAGGGCTGGGGGCAGAAAGCAGAGGAGCAGATCAGACCCAGAGGATGAGGCTGGGAGCAGAAAGCCAAGCAGCAAATCCAGGCAGGGAGCACAAGGCTGGGAACAGAAAGCAGAGTAGCAGATTGTCCAGAGCGTACAGGGAAAGGAGGCAGAAAGCAGAGCAGCAGATTAGACAGGGAGTGTAGGGCAGAGCAGCAGACTGGCAGGGGAAGGGGATCAGAGGGGCACTTGGGGAGGGTGCGGGGCCAATTTGTAGCACGTCTGCCAAAAAGGTTGGCTCCCAACTGCTCTGTGTCATCTCTGCAGCGATCACGAGGATGCTAAAGGACCGGCAGCAGGAGAAGGGGGCCCAGGCCAGGGTGGGGAGAGAGAGGCCCCCTGGGATATTAAGATGAGGACCCTGCTGGGCAAATTTGAGGTTTGGGTGAAGCACCAGTCATCCCCTTCCATTGTAGCACTTCTCCCGGAGGGTCCCAGGGCAATTCTTGCCGTGCTTAGATGGGATGGTGGGCATCTGTTAGCAGTATTAGATGCGTCCGACATCCAGGAGGGCTTCTTTGGGGCCAGGCTGAAGTCCATCATCCCATTTAGCCTGAATTGTCTTTCTTCCCTGTCTCTCCAGTTCCAGAAGCAAGATCGCAACTTGGGCCACACCAAGCAGCGGATCCTGGAGATCGCCAACTATGTGGACAAGGTAGTGGGCGGCCCTTGGAGCTGGTATTTACAGGATAGATGCATCCCCGTGGCCTGTCATGATATCAGAAAAACTTTGGCTATCAGATTTAAAGCTGGACATTGCTGGCTAGAGGGCACCGGGGTCCCCTTGCTTTCCCTGGGCAGCTTTGGGTGTGACGACTCGCGTTACGTCGGGGTTGGTGGTAGTTTTATGAGAAGTTTCGAGAACGGATTTGTTTAGGATGGTTTACATGGGGCTGATCCTGCCTCTGGCAGGGGGTTGCACTAGATGACCTCTGAAAATCCCTTCCAGCCCCACTTGTTTATGATCCCTGGGTCACCCAACAAAGCCAGGCTTTGGATGCCTGCTGGCTAAGTCTGATGACAGCAAGAATAGAGGTCAGGAGCATGCGGGTGGAAGGTGACCGAACCCCAAGGAGACCCAGCCGTGACGCCCGGCTTGGTCCGCTCCTGCCGCTCAGTTTTACAGGTCTCTGAACATCAAAGTGGCTCTCATCGGCCTGGAGGTGTGGACGGAGAGGGACCAGTGCACGGTCACCAGCGACGCCAACACCACCCTCTGGTCCTTCCTACAGTGGAAGAGGGCGCTGCGGGCCCGCAAGAAGCACGACAACGCCCAGCTGCTGACGTGAGTCTCTTCGGGTCCCTCTGCACAGCCCCAGGCTGAGCCCGACGGTGCGCCGGGGTTATGCTAACGCCCGGCTCCCCCCGTCCCCTTTTTGTTCCCGGCGCGTCTGGACAGCGGCAAGACATTTCAAGGGACGACCATCGGCATGGCCCCGCTGGAGGGGATGTGCAGCGCGGACAACTCAGGAGGCGTCAGCGTGGTATGGAGAGGGGGGTCCTCCTCATCCCTTCTCTGGGGCACCCCTGAAGCCACCCCCGGCTTGCCCGCCCCGTCACCGAGGGTCCCCCCGCTCCTGAGCCTCTTGTCCATGATATCCAGGGTGGGAGCACTGCAAAGCTCTTCCCCTCTGATCTAAGGATTTGGGGTTGTTCGCTACCCAGCCAGACGCCGAGTTCACCCTCGTGCTGTCTCCGTTCCCTCCCCACCTCTGCCAGGACCACTCGGAGCTGCCCATCGGAGCCGCCGCCACCATGGCTCACGAAATTGGGCACAACTTTGGCATGAGCCACGACAGCGAGGGATGCTGCGTGGAGGCCACCCCGGATAAGGGGGGCTGCGTCATGGCGGCTGCAACCGGGTAAGAGAGGGTGCAACGGGGCAGGAGGGTGGGCAGGGATATCTGGCACCCCCAGGTTTCAGGGGTGCTGCTGCTGACATGGCCCCAGGGAGCAAGACAAGCTGTGATATAGGGGCTGGTGGGAGGTTTGCCCTTATCCTGCTCAGGGACCCGACTTTGTGCGCATCATCCCTGCTCTCCCCTTGAGGACTGAAGGATAATCCTTGACTAGAGGATAGTCATGGAGAGTATTTCACAGGAGCTTTGCCATGACTGAGACCTGGGTTTGCATGGGGAAGGGGCCAGTGCACTTTCCCCTAATACCGGTTTCAGGACATACACAGGTACGCCATCAAGGCAGTGAGCATATGGAAACGGCCGGTCTATCCCCTCCTCCAGTGAAACCAGAGTCAAACTAGTTTTAAGTGGGGCTTGCAGAGAACTGAGGCATTCGCAGACATCATGATTGCCCTGGGAGAAAGCCTTTGTCTCAGGATCGTAGGCGGATGCATCTGCTGTCCTGCTCCAAGTCGCTGCATAAAATGTACTAGGGTTTTTTCCAGCACAGCCTGCTGCATGTCTGTGCGGTTATTGTGGTTCGCTCCAGCCAGGCCGGGTGCTTTCGGTGCCCACCTCCTAGCGGAGACGCCGCCATGCAGCTCGGCAAGGCGACGTGTGTAAGGGCCGTGTCACACGTTACACTTAGTGCGAGTTACATGTTGATTGTAAAAAATGCAAAACTCTAAAACTCTCGGTTCAACTCTTCTTACAAAATGAAGTTCGTGTTTCTATCTATGGGGATGTGTGCCATCTTTAATTTTCCCTAAGCCTGACGAAGAGCGCATGAGCCCGAAAGCTTGCAAAGAATGATAATTTTTTTTTTGCAATTTCATAGCTGGTCTAATAAAAGGTTTAGAGGCTGGCATTTCTTTTTGTCTCAGATGAACACAGCTACCAGATACACCCCTGAAACGTGGAGATTGTAACTAGCATGAATATGGCTCGGAAAGTTTTCTGAGCAGTCTGTGATCTAAATATAGATGGTAGTACCACGCCAGTCTCGAACCGGCTCCAGCGTGATCTGAGGGTGGAGACTGGAAAACAGCTGATTTTTAGCCTCAGCCCTGGGATCCGTTGAAGCTGGTTCAAGGCTCCAGTGTGGCTCCCATGCCATGCTGGCATCGCTCTCAGCCTCCTTATGCACTGGTGCCTTGAAATGGCCAGGCTCCAGTGCAGTGGGCAGTGGCGACAGCCTGATGCATTTGTCAGGCTCCCACCCCGTCCTCCCCGCTGCACCGGAGTCTCCTAATCGTATTACCTTCCCGGAGCAGTTGGATGTTAGCTCAATATGCATTAGGTCATGCAAGCTGGAGATATTCCTTACTGGAAAATGCCTAACGTTATTACACCACAGTGGCACTTAGCATGGACGTGCTTTATTGCTTGAGGAACTCCTGCCCAAACCTCCTGTCCTGCCCTATAGTGGTGGCTCTGGGGTGCTACGTGATTACAGCTAATAACCGGCACGGTCCTGGGGCCAGATCCCCACTGAGCAGGCTGCCAGCAGGAGGGAGTGTAAATACTCCTGCTGCCTTAGTGGTCCCTACAGCATCTGGGTCCTTCCCGGAGTGCACAGCCAGCTGTTGAGCACAGCTGTGTGGAGCATCAGGGGGGCACATGTGGCTGAGCGGAGGCGGCTGCTGTATGCTACCAAGGCATCCACCAGCCGAGCCAGGCACATGCATACTGATGGAGAGAGGTGCCTGGGTCTAGCTTCGGGAAGTTTGCTTCCAGGAACATGGAAAGCAAGGCCAGGGGTTGTAAGTCTTTGATAGCTCCCTGATGACAGCAGTGAGGCAAAGGGGGGAGGCACAGCCTGTCCTGCGTGGTGCAGTCCCTCTGTTGTCTGTGCAGATATTTTAAAGCAAATTGCTGCTTGCTTTGCTCCTCATGCCATTATGTGCATAACAGAGCCCTTAAATTAAGGAAATATAGGTACGCAAGGTATAGGGCTGGAGGCCTCCCAACAGTAGCTGAGCAGCTAGGAACGAGCAAGGGAGGCAGAGACATTGGGAGGAAGTGGGGCGGGATGAAAGGCATGCGGTCCCCAGCCTGCAACTCGAGCAGGCGAGCTCTGGGAGCGGGGCTAATGGATGTCATCTGCTAGAGCCGTTACCGGCTTGTGTTTCTCTCCAGGAACGGCGGTTCATTCCTGCCATTACGAGCCTCGCAGCTTGTCAGGCCGTACGAGGTGCAGACAGGGATGTGTCTCTGTAGGCTGGAGGGCTCCCTAGTTACACCGCAGTTGCAGTGTCTTGCGATTGGCGGGTAAAACAGGTGCATGCGCTGCGAAGACAGAAGCTGTGAAGTGATGCAGGATCTTTCCCTACATGAGTCTGATGCTTCGAGGTGTTGAAATTATTCTTTTTTTTTTTTTGAAAACCGGGAATCCCAGTTTGCAGGTCAGGAGCCTGGCCCCAAACAGCGGATCTGAGAGAAACCAATAGAAATTGCAAATCTCTTCATTTGTACTCCCTAGCTGGGTTGGGTTGACCATTAAACTCAGCTTAGTTTCGCTTCTCAGTTCTAAAAAACCAGCAAATACGATTGTTCCTGAATTCCTGCTACTGCAGGGTGCTAGCATGGGCTAATTTTTTTTTGGAAGACACCTAAAAACCGAAGATGGGCAGGTCATCTGAGATCATCTGAGATCATTTGAAATGCTGTACTGCTCTGGCTGCCCCACTGACCAAACCTGATTGTTTGTTCACATTTATAAGTTAAGGCAGATTGGAAAAGTTTCTGTCTACCCTTGTCTTTGCCTGGCAAATCGGGTTTTCAGTGAAATGAAAGTGTTTGCACGCAGGCAATCTTTCCCATGTGGTTTTTTTCCTCCTCTCCTTTGTGAAGAAGCTGAAGGCTCCAAACTGCACGGTTTTCACTTGGATGTGTTGCTGCGACAGATGGTGGGAACCATAGTTTGGTCATCTCATGGTCCTGTTCTCCTCTGATGGTAGGGTCACAGCGTCCGAGAAAGTAGGCTGTTCCCTAGGGAAGGTCGCATCCCTCTGAGCCAGTTAGTCTGGAAGGTGCCCTGATTTCTGTGGCTCTTGGTAGGTTTCTTAGCCAGACAACATGGCCCAGAATGGACCGCAGCCAGGGACTCCTGCAATGCCTTGACCCCTCTGCAGAAGGGGTATCATAGCTCAGCGATGCTCAACCAGGGTGTTATGATGTTACAGGCTGGGGACCGACTGGCTGGGCAACGTCTCTGCACAAAAGGACCTGGGGGTGACGGGACAGTAAGCTGAATAGGAGCCAGCAGTGTGTCCTTTGTGACCTGAGCTCCCTCCCAGCCCTCATAGTTTATGATGTCTTTTTAAGGGTGCTGTGCAATATCGGCACTGTTAATATTAGCCCTGCAAACACCTACACATGCTTCCCAAGATAAACCCAGAGATTTCCAGCAGGAATCCAATTCTGCCCCGCGGTGGGCTCGCTGAGTTCTTTGCAACACAAGAAACGCTCTAGTATTTGCCCATAGTCAAAAAAACAAATGAAAGCAAAGAGCTGGCATATTCAGCCTTAAGTCTGGTGAAGTTGAGAACCACTGCCATAGCGAATCATGGGAGATTTAATTTGACCAAGGAGACAGGCTTGGGTTTTTTTCAGTCAAAATGTTCACTTTCAGTTTGGTGGAAATTTGAAATTTTCCCCAGTGCAAAAAAAATAAAACAAAATAAAAAACAACAGCAACAAGTTTTGATCTTCTGTTGTTTGCACACTTAGATGTGTGTTGGGGCAGATCTATGTGTTTGAGGATGTATTAAACCATTTATCTCCCATAATGGACTCATCCCTTCCCCTTTCCTGCGACTAAAGAGATGTCTCTGAAATAGAAAAAAAAAATAGTTATCTCAGGGCTATGACCCAAAGTGAGAAGTTTTTATCCCACAGATGGTTTATGAGGAAGTGAAAATAGGTGCTCAGCCTGTAGCTTCCTCTGCTATAATTTTAGAGAGGGATAAGACAACCTCCCCTATGCTGTTGCAAAGCTGAGGAAGATGAGTTCTTGCTACTTTTACAGCAGCATGTGCAGATATCATATATTTTGGTGTCTTCTCTTCAGGATATACCATGAAACCTACCCCGTGTCCTGTCTACTCAGACTATATCTTTGTTTGGCTTTTTGTTTTATTTCACTGGGCAAATCAGAAGGATTCCTCTATGTTGCTTTTAATTTTTTTCAGGGTGGGGAAAAAAGGAGCTGTCTTGCTAACTGCAATATTTAAATTGCCCCAAAGAGGCATTTTCCTGCACCAATTAGTAAGAGCATTCATCCTCAGTGATCGTCATGGATCGGGATGTTGCAGGCTGTATTTTCCTGTATACAACATGCAACCTTCAGTTATCAAACTCCAGCTGATTTTGCGCTATCAAGCCCTGGAATTGTTATTTTTTTCCTAATGGAAAATAGAGCTTTCTTTCCCCTCCAGTATTTGCCAAATTTGTAGCTTCATTAGCTCCAGGGCTGTTGGTTTTGATACAGACTGATCTGTATTCCTGAGCCTGCCCTGCTAGGAGACTGTTGCCTTGAAGGATGAAATGCAGCTGGGTTTTCTGTTCTTGAGGGTTTTTTTGCTCCATTAGTGGTTGATTGTGGGCACGGGGCCTGCCTCGTATCAGCGGTGCGTAGGTGTATGCACAGCAGTAGTGTGCTTGCAAGGTCCTGTGCTAATTATCAGCCATTCCTGCTCTTGTAGCTTGTCCTGTCCCATGTGAACTGGGTGCTCCTATTTCAATGCCTCCCCACCTCTCCCTTTCTCCCCCACAGCCATCCTTTCCCCCGTGTCTTCAGCTCCTGCAGCAAGAGGCAGCTGGACAGTTACTTCCTGAAGGGCGGCGGGATGTGCCTCTTCAATATGCCCGACACCAAGGACCTGGTGGTGGGCAAGAAGTGTGGGAACGGCTTCCTGGAGGATGGGGAGGAGTGCGATTGTGGGGAGCTTGAGGTAGGTCCCCTGGCCCTGCAAGGAGACCTGGGCTCCGTCACCGTGCCCAAGGAGGCACTGGGATTATCTGCTGCAGCAGTGGGGGTTTTGCAAGTCGTTGCAATGGGGGTTTTTGGGCAGGCCTGTTTGGGATAACAAAACCACTGTACAGGACATATCAAGATAATCTTTCTCAGTTTCTTAAACTCATGCTCATGCATGCTCACTGGGGCTCCAGCTCCACATTTTCTTCTGCTTCTTCATTTTCTTCCACGTCTTCCTGCCTGGGGGTGGCTTCATTTGTTCTTTTGCTCCTTTCTTCTGCAAAAGTTGATGCCTAATCATCACTGTTAGTGAACTCTTGGAAGTTGGTGGGACCGTTCATTTCTCCCTGAAGCTCAGGATCGTCTTGCTCACACTCAGCTTCTTTGGCAGCGCTGGTGCCAAAGCCGCCCTTCATGGACCAGTTTGTAATGATTTGGGGTGGACTTTATCCCATGCAATGACAACCTTTCTCACAGCATCGAGGACGTCCCAGTTTTGCAAATCTGTTGCAAAACCTCCCGCAGCAGACACGTGCCAGTTGTGCACCATCTTAACATGGTGTATTATTCCCTGATCAGGGAGCTGCGTGTAGCTCGTGGTGCTTGCCGGGAGAAGGAGCACATGCACATGCTTTGGGCCTAATCCTTCCCAATTGTGGGCTGTTCAATTATCAATTAGCAGAAGCACGTTTCAGTTTTGGCAAGCCATTCTCTGTTGAAATTGGAGCAGCCACTCTTGAAACAACTTAATTATCATCCATGCATTTGTGTTGGCTGTGTACAAGCACAGCAAGTGTTTCATGCCTTTGATATACTGGGGGGTTTTTCAACTTCCCCACCACTAGTAGCTGTAGTTTCCTACTGCCATCTGCATTGCAGCCGACTAGCAAGGTGAAGCCTTTATTTGCTCTTCTTCCCACCACGACACATTTCTCCTTTACATGCCAGTGTCCGCTCAGGCTGCAGGTTTGAAGAAAACATCCTGCCTCCTCCTCACTGAACAAGAACTTCAGCATGTGTTTGTCCAGAATTGGCTTCACACTTTGATGCCAATTTTCTGCAACCACGACATTGATGGAATAGGCTTCACCATGTACAAAAAGCTAAACGATGCTGTGATGATGTTGGGAGTCCCTGGAGCCAAGCATTAAAACACCGAAACACAATTTCTAGCTTCATCACAATTTAATCTGATTCTTCTTTAAGTAGTGGCACAGATATTAGTATATTATTCACCCTCATATCACAAAGCCACTTGAAGCATTTTTTTTTTCTAAATCCAAATGCTTTGCACCTCGGATTCCTTTCTTCGTCCTGGGTTTGTGCCCTTCCCCATTGCCATCTTTATCAAATCCTGATTCTTCAAATAGGTTGAAAGTATAGAAGGACAAATGCCATATAGCGATTTCCATTTGGGATTTTGCTTTCTTATCTACTTGGTATGACACGTTCAACTTCTGTGAAATTGTTAACTCATTCTTCTTCCACTTCGTTGCCTTGATGTTCACCAGCACTGGCCTCGCACACGGCTGGAATTATTGCTGGAACGCGGTGGGGACTGTTGCTGAGCACAGCTTACAAAGCCATGTGCTACAAAAGGTCCCCATCTCTGCAGACTAATCATACAGTCATAGAAAGAAGGACCGGAAGAGACCTGTAAGATCATCAAGTCTGGTCTCCTGCCATGGGCGGGAGGTAATTGGGCTCAAATGAGCTCAACGAGGTATTTGTCCAGCCTCCTCTTAAAGACTGCCAGAGATGGCGACTGCACAGCTCTGCTGGGAGCGTGTTCCGGATCCTAGCTTCCCGTATGGAAAAGAAGTTTTTCCCTATGTCCAGCTGAAACTTTTCCTTGACTAGCTTGTGTCCATTGGCCCGCGTCTAATGTTGCAGTGTTATCTACGCAGTGGGTGCGTCTACACGAGACGTTTACTGCGCATTAGCCTAATAACACTGTGCAGTAGTGCATCACAGCACAAACTGTGCTAATAGCCAACTGCACAGAGTTACTAGGCTAATGCACAGTAAGTGTCATGTAATAACCATGCGCTGGTGCTACTGCACAGTCATTTTAGGTACCGCGCATTCACTTAGTACTTTATTAAGCAAGTACTAAACTAAATGCACAGTATCTAAGGTGTGTTCATGACCATGTAGATGCGCCCAGTGTTACTGTACTTTGAAGCAGACAAACAAGTTTTCATGGGTTTATGGTGCAAAGGACCAAAAAATGGCTTTGAATTTCAGAGTAGCCATATTTTGACTTCTCCAGCTCATAATGCAAACAAAAACGTATCCTTTTGTCTGTGGAGTGATGATAACTTTGAGGTATCCAGCACTTCGAAGGCTCTGATGTCGAACTAATGAGATTTTATTATGCAAGGAAAGATCTTTTTTTCCTCATTCTGCCTTTCAAAAACAAGGTGTGTATTATATTCCAAGGCTTGTTGTATGCGAGACAATACAGTACACTCACGTTTTTTTGATATAGCGCTTCAACATCAAAGCTGGGGAGTGGTCTGGGAGTGCAAAGGGGCAGGTGCTATTCTGACTGGTGGGCTCTTGGTGGGATCCTATGCCACCCTGCCCAAGTCCCAGCAAAACAGTTACCTCCAGGGTGGAACAGACTCACAATTGGGTGCCTAAATGCACTTAAGTGACTAATAGGTGCAGCAGGACCTAGCCCTGCTTGGTGTCCTGTTGGAGGGGAGCGTCTGTAGAAGCCAGCCCCAGAGAGATGAGCTGGGGTAGTCAGAAGAAGCAGCAGCCCCCAGCTGATCCCGGAGCAGGAAGGTGGGCAGCCTGCTAGCCTGGAGTCAGGCAGGAGGCAGGGCAGGGTGGCACCTCCAAGACGAATGCAAGCCCCTGCCCCTCCGCACCTGTTAGCCTCGAAGGTGCTGCCGTG